CCATGGACTATCATGGAAAAAGCCAGCACCAGGGAAGTGTTCTTCCCACTTCTCTGGCTCATGCATATTGGCTTTTCTGAATAGAGCTTTGTGATCACCCATTGCACTATCCCCAGTAAAAGACCTTTCTGGACTAAAGAACTGATGGAGATATGGGCACCTTCTCCAGGTCTCCCTTCCTTCATCGAGTGGAGCATTAAAGCCCCTTGACACTTACCAGTTCCTAGCCACTGGACCTAATTGCTGGGGCTAGAACAATGGGTGCCAATTTGGTGAGAAGTTGGACAATGGTGACACCACATACAACACAGATACATCACACATGCCATCCTCCTGCAGTCAAGTAGAGATAAGGTGAACTACAAATGGACTGATGCTGCATAATACAGTGCCCTCTTCCTGCAGATGGTCTATCTCATAAAATCTGTCCAGTTGAGTAGAGATGAGCACTCACTATACAAAACCAACAAATATTTATATTTCACAAGTCCTCCTCCTGCCGCCCTGTCTATTTAGTAGAGTCGAGTTGACCACACTCAGTACTGGTCCTTATTACACAAGTGTGCTCTTCCCTTGCAACTGGTGTAAATCCCATAGTCTAACAGCAGAGTTGAGGTGAGCACTCCATGCACACCTGTGATGCATCTCTCATCTACCCTTCTCCTGCACCTGGCATTGGGCCCATAGAGACTAATGGTTGGATTGAGATATACAAGTATCCATACTATATATAATAAAGTGCCCTCCTTCTGCAGCTAGTTTTGACATGTCAAATCTGATGGTAGAGTTGAAGTGAGAACACAAAGTACAGCCTGAATACGCCTTAATCACACAACACATTGGCTGAGTGGCAACGTGTTCAAGTACTTGGAAAGCCATGTACCAATTCTGCCTGTCCCTTGTGAAACAACTCTGGCTTCTTTGCCTATTGTTTTTCTGTTACGGGTGAAGAGTATACCCTAGATGAGACAAGATGCTGTCTTGCATGGGTGTGCCCCTTTGGAGACCCTGCCATTGGGTGTCACACCCCATAGGCATCCTTCAGACACTTTCCAAAGATTGTTCATCTAGTTAAATTTTTCACGGGTCCCTCCACCTTATCAACATGGGATTCTAAATATTCTGTGTGTTGAGGTGAGTTATCTCAGAAGTTAATATTTTCCTGCCCAAAAAATGTATTTACAATTGATACTCACCCCTACACACATTCTCACCGATCTTCACTTTTGATGCACATTTTCTTATTTGCATTGTCAAAAAATGAAGATTCACAAACGTAAATACATAAAGAGAGTTAGTGCATATGGAGATGCATCACCCTCCTATTGGTGGAGTTTCATTGCATGACATCATGCAGTGGCACAATTGATGTAAAATGACATGAAAGTAGATGGGAGTTGCCTCAAGGCCAGTGGCATGCAAATTTCTTTGACAGATACATGAGGAAGATAATCTGTGTGGGAGGTGAGTATCTATAAAAAAAAAATTTTGGTTAAGGAAAATGTTAACGTTAAAAAGTTTCATTGCGTGTAACTAGTTTTTTAAATATGCGATATGATAGTTTTCCTTATTTGTTTTATATTTATTCATCACAGGTAGCTCCTAGCATCAAACATTAAGTAATAGCAGTAGGAAATAAGTATATTATGACAAAAATATTTTTATTTTTGTTTAATATAGATTATATTAATTTAAACATTTTATAAGAAAAAAAATTATTTTATGTAATATTTTCGATAATCTTAGGTATAAACTGTACCTGCCAGTCAGATTTCTGTATTCTAAGCATATTTATTTTTGAGAATCTTAAGTACAAACTGTACCTGCTACTCTCTGTTATGGTTTAAGTACATTTATTTTTGATAATTTTTTTATACACCTTGTACTTGCTATACAAAATTTTGTAGTATAGATTGTTTATTTATTTTTTGATCTCACCAAATTAATTTTCCAACAAACAGGCCTTGTTAAAAAATTAGAAGAACTTGTTTCATTTATAGCAAACTGTTTAACTATAAAATTATAATTTTTACTTCTCATAAGAAACAACAACCAAAAAAAAAGTTAATTTAATTTAAGGTACTGCTTCAGCAACAGCAAAAAGTGTATTTTACTTTTAAGCAATTTTCAAAAGAAATTGTGGATTATGCTTTTCATAGTGTAAGATGCACAGTTTGTTTTATTATGTGTATTAATCTTAAATATAAAACCAATTTTAAAAAGCTGGGGAAGGCAGAATGTTGAAAATACAACAGTTAAAGCTGTTAAATGGTATTTGGCTATGCCCTGCTTCAAGAATGCTTAAAACAGCATCTGTGGCCTGGATCCAAGCCCACTATTTGCTTATTTTTTTCTGATAAACATTTAAACCTCTGAAACAAACTATCTACCTACTTATATATGTATTCACAAACCAACAGTAATCTAAGTATTTGAATGTAAATCTTCTAGAACTACAGTTCCAAATGAAAACATTGTGAATGCTTACAGAAACGTGCACAGAAGGCTATTTGTAGCTGTAAAATATAGCAGGATCTTCAAAAGTTTGTTATACATTAGATGCTTTTAAAAAAGTGTCATCACATAATAGGTAATACAAATCACCACTAATATACATGTATTAGATAACGTCAGCAAGTAGTGTAATACTAACAGATAACGTCGGGAAAGTAGTGTAATACTAACAGATAACGTCGGCAAAGTAGTGTAATACTAACAGATAACGTCGGGAAAGTAGTGTAATACTAACGGATAACGTCGGCAAAGTAGTGTAATACTAATGGATAACGTCGGGAAAGTAGTGTAATACTAACAGATAACGTCGGGAAAGTAGTGTAATACTAACAGACAACGTCGGGAAAGTAGTGTAATACTAACAGATAACGTCGGGAAAGTAGTGTAATACTAACAGATAACGTCGGGAAAGTAGTGTAATACTAACAGATAACGTCGGGAAAGTTGTGTAATACTAACAGATAACGTCGGCAAAGTAGTGTAATACTAACAGATAACGTCGGGAAAGTAGTGTAATACTAACTGATAACGTCGGGAAAGTAGTGTAATACTAACGGACAACGTCGAGAAAGTAGTGTAATACTAACAGATAACGTCGGGAAAGTAGTGTAATACTAACGGACAACGTCGAGAAAGTAGTGTAATACTAACGGACAACGTCGGCAAAGTAGTGTAATACTAACGGATAATGTCGGCAAAGTAGTAGGCAAAATAGTGTAATACTAACGGATAACGTCGGCAAAGTAGTGTAATACTAACGGATAACGTCGGCAAAGTAGTGTAATACTAACAGATAACGTCGGCAAAGTAGTGTAATACTAACGGATAACGTCGGCAAAGTAGTGTAATACTAACGGATAACGTCGGCAAAGTAGTGTAATACTAACGGATAACGTCGGCAAAGTAGTGTAATACTAACGGATAACGATGGTAAGTAGTGTAATGCTAACGGATAACGATGGTAAGTAGTGTAATGCTAACGGATAACGATGGTAAGTAGTGTAATGCTAACGGATAACGATGGTAAGTAGCGTAATACTAACGGATAACGATGGTAAGTAGTGTAATACTAACGGATAACGATGGTAAGTAGCGTAATACTAACGGATAACGATGGTAAGTAGTGTAATACTAACGGATAACGATGGTAAGTAGTGTAATACTAACGGATAACGATGGTAAGTAGCGTAATACTAACGGATAACGATGGTAAGTAGCGTAATACTAACGGATAACGTCGGCAAAGTAGTGTAATACTAACGGATAACGTCGGCAAAGTAGTGTAATACTAACAGATAACGTCGGCAAAGTAGTGTTATACTAACAGATAACGTCGGCAAAGTAGTGTTATACTAACAGATAACTTCGGCAAAGTAGTGTAATACTAACAGATAACGTTGACAAAGTAGTGTAATACTAACAGATAACGTTGACAAAGTAGAGTAATACTAACAGATAATGTCGGCAAAGTAGTGGGCAAAATAGTGTAATACTAACGGATAACGTCGGCAAAGTAGTGTAATACTAACGGATAATGTCGGCAAAGTAGTGGGCAAAATAGTGTAATACTAACGGATAACGTCGGCAAGTAGTACAACTGACCACACCGATACACAACTTGTCACACTAGCCAGTAGTCATACATAACTGATCATACCAACAATCATTGTTACATGTAATGAGTAACCTAACTAGTTTTGTGTTAGACAATATCAGTAAACAGCGTTCTGTGGTACAGATAGCACCAGAAGAATAGCTATCTTCCTGTACAAACGTAGTTTTTAGTTTAGAACACTACGAGAAACGGCGTCTTACGGTCGGCTGTTTGTGCTAGTAATTAGTACTCATAGTATTCACACAAGAGAACGTTTGCTAAAGTATTTTTTTCTGGGAAGTACTACACGGAAAAAGTGTTCGGTTAAGAACTTGGTCTTCCTTGGGCAGATAAATCTGTGTAGCTTAGAACTTTGTTCCAGGACATTAAGAAGTTATTTATCTTCTTGGGAATGTACATGTGTAGTTTTAGAACATTGTTACACAAAATTAAGAATTGATGTACTTGTGTAGCAGTGTGGAATATAGATGTTGCAACCATACAATACAGAGCTATTTTCACAGATTAGGTATAGGCATAACATATACAAGGTAATATAATGAGTGATAACCATTTTAACCAGGTGTTCTATAGAACATTGTTAAGACAGTGATTTTGTTTGTATTGTTTTGTCTTGTGCATAAGTGGAATAAAATGTTCTTGTTTCTGTATAGTTAGGGTGTTACTATTTTTATATAATGGTATTTCAAAAAAGTATTATGCATAGTTTTTCACAGAAGTTGAATTTCTATTATCTGTAACAGGAATATTTTATAATCATAAACAAATATTTTGCACTTTTATTTTGTACATGGTATATAATGTCCAAGTTTATCAAATGTTACCATCCAATTCAATGATGAAAATGTTTATTTCCACATTCTTCCATAAGGGTTCCAAGGATATAAGCCATACTTTCGACAAGTGATTGATTCTGAGGTGAGTTTAATGTATGTTTTTAGTAAACAGTTCTTTTCAGTATGCCTGTTCTTTCAACATAATTATAGAAACTGTTTCAGTGTACATATAATGATTGTGCCCTTCAGTCATACGCAACTCATTGCATCAAAATGATTCAATGTACAGAGCTCAAAATTTTCATAAATTTTACTGATATAAACTCTAATGTTTTTATATACTAAAAGTGGTAAATTAGTTTAAGAACTTCAGTTTTTAGTACTCAATTTAAAAATCTCATCAATAAAGATATAATCAAACCCTTATGTACATTCACTTACATGTTTTATGCTTTAAAGCTGCAAATTCAATAATAAATACTTTCTGATTATGTTTGTGTGTCTGCTTTAAGTTATGTATATAATACATACAATACTACTTCCATGACTTTTTGTGCATTGACTTTTTTGCATATTTAGCTTTAATTCTTTGTATGTAATTTGATTTTAAATTCCTGACTTCAGTTCATGTACTTGCTATCTATTCTAATTTTATATAATTTGCTTTCTAATGTGCTAACTTAAGATCATCTTTGAATTCTCTTGCCAGTTTGTGTGATGTAAAGCTTAATAAAACTGTAATTGTACATATTATTCATACATCTTTTTGTCACTAGATGGAGCGTCATTGGTTCTGTCTGGCCAGTGTCTTACCCATACATTTAATTAGCCTTGGTACCTTTAACTGTAACCTTGTGTTGTGTTCAAACTCATGCTTTGGCAAGTGGCCAAAGACATTTTATTTGGATGTAGTGTGTGCTTGTTAAACAGAGGATATATTTAAAAATTTAAATAGCTATAATGTATTGGAATGGATAGTTTTATAGACTAAATACAAAACACAAATACTCAAATATATTTGAGAAAATTTAAATTATTCAAATAATGCTGACTTAAATTACAGCAGTACATTAAAAACAAGAATTATGCTGAAAGTCATCTTAACTTTTAGGTTACCTTTAGTATTGATATTGTATAGGATTTTTGACAAAATCAAACATCCTTCCATTTAAGTGATATTTCATACTGAGGCATGAGTTCAAAACAGGTCATTTCAGTAGTTCAAGTTGACAACTAAACGAGCATGGATGTTCCAGTTTAGGCAGGCACGACCTGAGAAGCAGGTCGAGTGGAACACCACAGTAAGTTACCATACTGGAATGGTTGCTGTTCTCTAACACTTGTTTACCACATAGCATTCCGCATCTGAAGCCTTATTAGGCAAGTAACCGGCCGTTGTGTTGTTGTATTTAGGATTGTACACCAAGCCAGATCTTCAGCTTTGTAGTTGTAGCTACTGTTAGCTATATATCGGCAATTTTAGAGAAACTTTAGTTGGCAATGACCTGGTATATAACTAATTCAAACAGTCGTAACTTAAGTAATAGTATTCTAATATACCAAAACCAATGTAAGAATTTTTAAACTTCCATGTTTTCTTTCTTCGTGCAGAGTAGGACATGTTATTGTTGTCTTTCTTGTGATGGAATGAAAACTAAAAGTTTATTTCTTTTAAGTTATTTCCATGAGAAGAATCAAAATTTGAATTATATATGCAATTTGGAAGTAAGTCTTAGTTAATACACAGTCTTAAAAGATTTCTGTATAGTTTGTAATTTTTATAAATTTCATTTATTTCATGATGAGGAACCCACTTCCAGACAAAGTTTGGAGATAGTTTGAATGGGTAATAAAGAAAAACTTCAAAACATAATAACAAATGTACAACAGGTATGTTGTCAAAACATACATTTGTTACTATGTTAATCTTGTATTACCTATCCAAGCCCCCTCCAGACTATTAAATTTCATATATCTGAATGTAAACAGACGAGCTTAACATGGGACATTTTCCTATCTGAGAAATTAGTTTTGGATTTTTCCACAAAACAGTACCATGCTATTTGTTTTACCAATTATTAATTTTCTTGTTTTACAGAGTTCCTCTCCATTCCAAGCAGACTCCAGGAAGAAAGGAGCTATGGTGTTAGCCACCCCCGTGTTTATGTTAGGTGTTGCAGTGTTTTTCTTTTATGTTTTCTTCAAGGTTAGGTATTTTACATTTTCCAAGATCTTTTATTTTAGTATAGGCATTCCTGATGTTTAAACTATAGAACAAAAGTCTGTCACTCATATCTTTCTTTTTCAACTGTCACTTTTCAAAGTGGATGTAATCATCTAATCTTGATTTTCACACTATGGGTTTAAAATGTTTCAATTAAATTCTGATGGCAAGTAAAGCTCCAATACTTTTTAGAGCATCTTGACTTTTCAGTTAGAGGTGGTTACTTTTCTGTTGTGTGTTGTTACACGAATAATGCTTTAAAAGAAAGTTTAGGTTCTGTACTTAGTAAACACTACTTACTAGATCAGATTATGAATGAAAGTTTAGAAAAATTGGTAATAATTTTATTATATTGTGAAAAAAATACAACCATAATTTTGTGCTGAAATTTTTATCCTTCAAGAATTCTTCACATTCTGTGTATATTAGTAAAAAAAATTTCCATAAAGTATTATCACAGAACAACATAATTGGGTATTATTATGACTCAAATTCTTCTTCCCCCATTACATCTCTTTGTCATGAGTGCCCCTCTATGAACACTCATTATTCAGTAGCAGATACATCAATATTTAAGTAGGCTATTTAGTAGAGTGGTAAATTATGGTATAATAAGTATTTTTCCATCTTTCTTTTGGTGATATAAGTAGTGGTTTAATAGTACATGCCCACCTTTTCTGTGGTGGCATAAGTTGTGGTTGGCCAGTACACGTTTGTCTTTTCTGTGGTGATATAAGTAGTGGTTTAATAGTACATGTCCACCTTTTCTGTGGTGACATAAGTAGTGGTTTAATAGTACATGTCCACCTTTTCTGTGGTGACATAAGTAGTGGTTTAATAGTACATGTCCACCTTTTCTGTGGGGACATAAGTTGTGGATGAACATTACATGTCTGTCTTTTCTGTGTGGACATAAGTTGTAGGTGAACATTACATGTTCGTCTTTTTCTGTGTGGGAATAAGTTGTGGGTGAACATTACATGTCCGTCTTTTTCTATTTGGACATAAGTTGTGGTTGGCCAGTACACGTTTGTCTATGTCAAATAAGACAAAAGTTTGTACGAGTTTCTGTAACTTATAGTAATTTAATGTATTAAATTTAGATAATTCAGTATGTTTTCTAGATATTTATAATATTAGGTACATTAATATATATAGCATTATATATTTTAAATGGTAGTAACTCCATAGACTAGGCATGGTACATGATAGTTCTGTCTGATGCTTGGTAATATCACCAAGCAGACCAAACCTCATCACGTGTTTTGGCTGGGACAAAGAAGAAAAAAAACAAAACCACTTGCAATGAGGGAACCTAAACTGATGACCTGGAGCAGAGTGGGCATATAAGTATTTTGAAGTTTTTCTGTTACTCATAATTAAGACTGTTTCACTGTCTAATCACATCTTATGTCCACACAGAAAATACAGACGTGTATGTTCAACCACATCTTTCGTCCCCATAAAAAAGATGGACATGTAATGTTCACCCACAACTTATGTCCCCACAGAAAATGACAAGTTCCAACTTAAATTTCCACAGATCAATAGCACATCTGGTGTAAATATATGACCACTAGTGTATCTGGTTAGTTCTCAGTGCACCATAGTATTTGAGGATGACCTTACCAAAAAAAATTGGCCAACAGCCAGAGTTGAAAAGGGAGCAAGCAAAAGTGGCCACTTCTTAAGTATGTAAGGTCAGGATAAAAAAAAGATATTTATATCCTATAGCTCTTGTGTTAATTGTGATCTATACAGAATCAACAAACACACTGTAGTGACCTGTTGATACCCAGCATAACTTTTGGTGCAGTGGAATAAAATGATAGATGTGAAAGGTTAAATGCTTAGGTTTGTGTTGGAGTATATGCATCTAAAAAGGTATTTATATTCTGGATTGACCATGTTATTTATATAATTTATACTGAGCTAACAAACACATTGTGGAAAATGGTTGATTCAGCATAACTTAAAGTAGAATAAAATGCAACAGATATTAGTATCAATGTATAGAATAAATTATATATGATTTCTTTGAAACTTCAGACAAGCTCAAACTACAAAAAACTTAATTTGTTTTTAATATCTTAATAGAAAAGACACATAAAATGTTCAAAGAATTAAAATATAACTTGCATGGTAAAATGTAAAACACTTAAACAAAATATAAATCTTAAGTTTTATGTGTACTTCTATTTTTAAGACTTAAGAACACTGAGAAACTTAAGTTCAATTTTAGAATATAATTAATATTTAAATAAACCATCACATTTAACAAACAAAGACTTGGATTATTTCCCAGTGACTGTTTGATAGCAGGTACAATCCATACTTTTCACATCACTTTAAGCTGCTTGTCTGAATGCAAGTTTAATAGATGAATGAAATGGCAAAAAAACAATGTAAGATATAGTGTGATAGAACTGAGTGTTACATATGTTGAAGACAAAGTTTCAATATTGTGGATTTGTTTCTTGAACAACAGTTGATATTATAAGATGTAGTGAATATTTGATGTTGTTTTGGGTTATATTTTTATAATTTTAATGTTGTTGTTCAGTAGTTTGTTTGTTGTTGTTTTTTTTTCATAAGTAAAATGGTGAATTTTAGAAATTTTGTGAAAGTTTAGGCCTCTGTAGAATCTGGAAGCTTTCTGAATTAAGTAGAAAACAAGTACAATATAAAAATACTAAACTGAGTGAGTTAATGAATTAATCAGTTAATTGCCAGTTGGTGTGAGACATTGAGAATTAGTGTCTGTTTGTCTGTGATTCAATTAATATGTTAGTCAGCATGTTCATTATCAGTTGGTTAGTGAGTAAATTCTGTAAATAAGCTAAGTGTACATTAGTTTGTTTCTGTTCAAACAAAAGTCTGGATACAGTGGAAGCTCAGTAAAAGGGAGTGATGTGACAAATGCCTATTTCTAGACACCAGTTAGTACCCCTACCTCAGAATGTTGTGTTTTAAGCATCAAATGAACCTTCTGCATACAGTGCTCCCCAATTATAACGGCCTTGCTTATACCACAGATTCGGATGTATCATAGGTCTCCTTCCTCCTCCGACATTTTACATTGGACCTGCCCAGCGAAGAACCTTCAATGGCATCTTAGTGTTGTAATTATCTGATTACTGTGTGAGGTTTACAGATGTAGAATTGTCCTGTATTATTATACTGGAATTTTGTTCAAAGTAAAATACTGTAAAGGGCATGATAATGCATCATGTGCTTTTTAGTGTGCAAAATATCTGGCCACAGTTTTTGAAAGATGGGAACCCTCTCCAAACCTCTTCACCCAGTTTTTCAAATGTCCAATTTTCAATCTTCAAACTATTCCAGTGAAGACTGAAAAATCTTAGTTTGAGACAAGCCTTAAAGTCAAGTTTTGTGGAGTAATGTATGAATTCCACAGAAGCAGATATGTAGCAGTTAAACTTCAAGTTCATTTCTTTGTTGATCCATCACCTAAAAAAAAACGTTATTAAACAATGACATCAAAAATTAAAAAAATATAGCCCACAACAATATTTTTTGCAATATAATTGTTGAATATTGAGTAACTTTTAGCTGTTTTCTCTTACTGTATTACTTAATTTCTCAAATGTTTGCAGTTTGTTCTCAAAGAAAACTCAAGTGAAGAAGAAGCAGACATTTCCACTGATCATGAGAGAGAGTTTGACTCTCCACATCAAGAAGTGGATAGTAAAAAGAAGAAAACACTGGAAGATTATGGAAACGAGCAAGGTGAACTATTATTCACTTGTAATTATAGATTAAAAGCAAATGTAAGAAATGGATGTGTTAAAAATAGAGAAAATTATTATCAGACTAAGCAGCACAAATTTAGATGTGTAAAGTGGGTATCAGGCAGTGCAGGTTTGTATGTGTAAAGTGGGTATCAGGCTAAGCAGTGCAGGTTTGTATGTGTAAAGTGGGTATCAGGCTAAGCAGTGCAGGTTTGTATGTGTAAAGTGGATATCAGGCTAAGCAGTGCAGGTTTGTATGTGTAAAGTGGATATGGTGTTAAGCAGCAATACAGAAGAACATCAGAAAGATCAATTTAAAGTGGATAGATATAAAATTGTAGAAACTATTTTGTTAAAAGTATATTCTACTATGTCTCATAAAATATAAAAACTTTAATGTCACAGCGCCTTTGTATTCACAAATGCTTTTCACACACACACACACACACACACACACACACACAC